GGATTACAGGCTTGAGCCACCGTGCCTGGCCTATAGTTTTACTTTTAAAAAATTTTCCTATGCATTTGTAACTGAAAATAAGAGTTTTCAAAGTTTGGAGAAAAATTTTTAAAGGTCACTGAAGAATCATAATTTTTTTCATTGATAATATGATCATTTTATATGCAGGTTTAGCTTATATGGGTATTTTTATGGTTCCACACCACTGTACATGGTGACAAATGCCTGTATATCTTTCTCTACTTCAGTCTTTTTAGTTAGGGAAATAACAGTCTCACTGACATTGACATAATAGATTTGACCAATTATCTTTTTGCTTTGGCCTCTCTGGGGAGACATGAATGAGTTTCTAACTTTTATGAAATTATTTAGTTTTAGTGTTTTTCATAATGTTTTGAAAAACTGTGACTGCATTATATATTTTCTTATTTGCAGTTCTGTTTACCCCTTTCTTTTTTTTTTTTTGAGACGGAGTTTCGCGCGTTACCCAGGCTGGAGTGCAATGGCGCGATCTCGGCTCACCGCAAGCTCCGCCTCCTGTGTTCAGGCAATTCTCCTTCCTCAGCCTCCTGAGTAGCTGGGATTACAGGCACGTGCCACCTTGCCCAGCTAATTTTTTGTATTTTTAGTAGAGACGGGGTTTCACCATGTTGACCAGGATGGTCTCGATCTCTTGACCTCGTGATCCACCCGCTTGGCCTCCCAAAGTGCTGGGATTACAGGCTTGAGCCACCAAGCCTGGCTCTGTTTACCCCTTTCTATTATGCTGTCACTTTCTCATTTTTAATAATAACCGTTTAATACAGCAAGAGACAGTATTCTTTTCCTCTTTCTCTCCTTCCCTACCTTCAATTTTTATCTTCTTGGATATATGTAGAATTCCTAATGATTTGCTAGACTAAAGGTAAAAGTTTTAAAAATATAGTTTCATACTGCAGGACATTATTATAACATCTGTTTTTCTCACTTTTTCCTGCAATTAAATCTTTTTTTTTTTTTTTTGAGACGGAGTTTCGCTCTTGTTACCCAGGCTGGAGTGCAATGGCGCGATCTCGGCTCACCGCAACCTCTGCCTCCTGGGTTCAGGCAATTCTCCTGCCTCAGCCTCCTGAGTAGCTGGGATTACAGGCACGCGCCACCATGCCCAGCTAATTTTTTGTATTTTTAGTAGAGACTGGGTTTCACCATGTTGACCAGGATGGTCTCGATCTCTTGACCTCGTGATCCACCCGCCTCAGCCTCCCAAAGTGCTGGGATTACAGGCTTGAGCCACCGCGCCCGGCTCCTGCAATTAAATCTAAAGCCATATTAGTGATACAGAGTTTTTGGTATTTGTTTTGGAGGTTAACTTGGTGTTAAAAGCTACTTACAGAGTAAACACTCACTAAGTACTATTATGAAAGGCAGAGCTTTCTCTTCTTAATGATACTGGTAATTGTAATAATGATTTATAATTGTCAACTACTTTATAGTTTACAGTGCACTTTTACCATGAATTTTTTTGTCTCAACTTTACATTAACAGAATTAACATGGAAGCAAGTATTTGTACTTCAGAAATGTGGAAAGTGAGACTTTGATTTGCCCAGAGTCACTCAAGAGAGTTTATAGTCTTTTATTGATAGCCCTTGGCAGGCTGTAATATAAAACACCATACAGTTTTGTAGTGATAGACATGGGCTTGAATCCCACCCAGTCCTATAACTTAGTAACTATGTGGCTTTGGACAAAGCAGTTCTTTTTGAAAATCAGTTTTATAATTTGTTATATGGGGGTTGCTTTGAAACATAAATGCAGCAGTATAGTAGTGCCTGGCTTAAAGTTAAGACATTCAATAAACAATATCTGCTATTATGATAATAATTGATATAATAGCATCATCAGTTTATTCTCAAGAGGTTAATTTCAAATTTCGACTGAGGTCAGCTATTCACTATATTATAAATTATGTTGGATGTCTCTTCTGTGCTTTGTTAATATTTTGTACTTACAGGTATTTTAGAACTAATGATATCAGATTCTAATGACCTCTTATTTCCCCCCTACTCTACTGTAAACTTCTTGAGAAAATAGGTTAGATAGCAGTTTGCTTTTTACCTTATTTATAGAGTTAGTAAGAGACCGTTGAATGCTTTGAACTCCCCAGTGAAACACTTAATACTCCCATTAGGTGTTTGTGTTACTAATAATATCTATCTGATTTCTGACACATTATAATACTGGCCTCCATAGGAATCCTGATGAGCTTTAATGAAGTATAATTTTGAAAATGACTAATACAGCTTGACAGAAAAAAAATTATGTAATTTAAGTGCTTAAAGTTCATGTATTATACCTTTCCTGTTTGCTAGAAGAGGGAGCAGAGTCTCAGGGGGTTAGATGCTTTCTCTAAGGTCACGCTGGTTGGTGGCAGGGTTTTTGTTTTTTTTTTTTAACAAGCCAGGAAAAGATTAGTACATTAAAGATCATCAAAATAAGGTGATGAGTATTGCTACTTAAGAAAAATCCAAACCACTAAGTCTCATTTTGCAGTATAATGTAATATAGAAATACTATGCTAAGAAAATGTGAAATTTCATCTATTTTATCATTCACCTGGAAGTGCTTGAGAAACAAAATGGCATGAAACTTTATATTTTATTACAGCCATTAGAGATTACAAAAGGTAGGAGGGTGGGAGAGGCGGGTGAAAACTGAAAGATTACCTGTTGGTTACAATGTTCAGTCTTTGGGTAATGGGTACTCTAAAAGCCCAGACAGACTTTAACACTACTTAATATATATATGTAAGAAATCTGCATTTGTACTCTGTACATCTATAAAAATAAAAATTAAACAAACAAAAATAAAAAATCTTTTTCTGCCTTAAAAAACAAACTAACAAAAAATCCTTTAAATTTTCAAAAAGAAAAAAAAGGTAGAGAGTATACATTCCAAACTGTTAACATTGTTTCCTAAGGAGGCTGAGAGAAGGGAGAAATTATTTTTTCTTTCGGATACTTTGGTATTTGTTAACTTATTGTAGTGACTATATAATGGGTTTATAATTTAAACCCTATAATATAGAACATTGTTCTTCAATCAGAAAACCATTAGAGATGCAAGCCGAAGCAGAATATGTAGGGATGTGTGAAATAAATCTGTTCTCATTGACCTCACTTTTTAGAGAGAACAAATTTTATTTCTAAAAAAGAATTACCATAAATCTTTTTATTCTTCCTTAGCAAAAATTTAGGGCAGTAGTATAAGAAATAGTACAGTGAGTGAATTGCATGATTAATTATCATTTAATTTGTGTAGACAGTGTTTATTATAAGAATTCATAGGAGAGGGATCATAGCAGTATATAATTGAAATTATGAATACTAGAGTATAATTATTTCTCCTGTAGATTATTTTTTGTTCACCGTATAAACTGGAAACCATCATTCTCAGCAGACTGACATAAGAACAGAAAATCAAACACCGCATGTTCTCACTCTTAAGTGGGTGTAGAGCAATGAGAACACACGGACACAGGGAGGGGAATATCACACACCGCGGCCTGGGGGATGGGGGGCTAGGGGAGGAATAGCAGGGGGTGGGAGGATTGGGGAGGGATAGTATTAGGAGAAATACGTAATGTAGGTGACAGGGCGATGAATGCAGCAAACCACCACCATGACACACGTATACCTGTGTAACCTGCACGATCTGCACATGTGCCCCAGAACTTAAAGTATAATAAATAAAATTTTAAAAAGCTATCCTCAGAGCTTACCAACTTTAGCTTTGTTATGTACCTTATCATTTTTGGGTGCCAGAAGGAAGCCTTGAGCAAGTCATCCTCAAGCATTTTAAGGAAGTATATATTTACTCCTTACACAGCTTACATTTATTTGGACATGACCAGTGATCTTGTTCATGTAAGCATTAGCCATGCTACTAAGAAAGTAAGCCTTTGAAAAACAACAAGGATCAGAATAACAATTGACTGGTTAGCTGCCACTGTTTTGAAATTGGAAAAAATCTTATATCTAATGTCATATTCTTCACCCTTTTCTATGAATTGTTACATAGCTTATCTTGAAATTTGGGGAAGCTACAATAAAAACATTCTTATAAGTGTGGGTATGCGTTGTTAGCGGAGGAAGACTTGTGTGGACAGATTACGTTGCTTCTCAAGTTACGAGACCTATAATATAGCAATATGAATTTGGCTAAATTGCTTAACTTCTCTGGACTTTGCTTACATGTCAAGTGGAGTTAATAATATCCTAACAAACATAGAAATAATAGATTTAGCTGAATTTTAAAGCTTATGCAAATTCTTTACAAATAAAATAGTAATGTTGATGGGATTTCTAAAGCTTCTCTAGCATCAAGAAGCACAGAGCAATATTAAATAGTTAACAGTACATTAATAGGATTTCGAATATATCTTCACTAATATAATAACATATTTAGTAATAAAGTTTGTATAACTTTTTTTTAAAACTGAGGATATAGTATTAACATGCTACTTAGTGAAGATGATTGTGGAGGGCTAGGGTAATAGTTTGCTTTCTTTTAATCTGGTTTGATGTAAAGAGAGTATAGTGTCATCTTCTTATTTTTAAAAACCTTCTTTTTGGTTTAACTGGGTTAATGGATTTTGACCTATATGTTTGGAATAACTTTAAGGCAAATAAAATCTCTTAACTCCCTAGAAACTAATTTGTATCTCAATACCATATTTTCTTTCAGTCAACAATTTATGGTCACTTTTATGAAAGTTTCTTATCCTTGGTAATCTTTTACATGCAAATAAAGATCTGGAAATTTAGATAACTTATTTCTGTGTGATTTTCTTATGTATCTTCATAAATACTTAGTCCTGGTGTTCTTAGAAAAAAAAATTACAGCTTTTTGTAAATACAGAGCTTAGATTGTATAGTTATCATAAAAAGGCTTTTTGCTCACTGGGCTTCTACGTATTCTTGATACCTTATTTCTCCTTTTTTTTTCCCCCAATATTTTCAGATGTTTTGGAATGTTATTAAGCCCAGGTCGAAACGTGAAGAACAGTGACATGCATTTACTGGATATGGTAATGATAATCTTAAGCACCTTAACCAAGTATAGATGATAGTTATTTTATATTTTACAAGTATTTTCTATTTACACATTTTTGTCATCTTGTCAAAATTATTTCTTGCAGCTGTGTGATAGTAATAATTAAATTTGGAAATGCGAACTTAGGATTACTTGTGAAAGAGGAATTTCGTATAATTTCCACCAAAACGTTCATATCCAAGTTGAAAGCCAGTAAAAGGATTGTGTTATGACCATGTCCATTTATTTTTTTGGCTTCTTAGATGTCTTTTCTTTGAGCCTGGAGTAACAAGTACATGATTATAACAAGCATCTCCAGAGTGAATATGGAGCCTTTCATTTATTTTAATGCACTGCTGTTAATTTGAGTATTGTGATGGGTACTTTTGTTTTCTTTAAAGCATTTCCCTTTCTGAATTTCTTCCTGATTACCTGTCCTTAGCAAAGTACATTTATTCTAGAAGTGATATTTATTTAAGGAATGTCCTTAAAGATTAATATATATTAATCTGTAGTCAATATTTAGTGTAAAAGTAGCAAGCTGTTTTAACTTTCAAATAGAAATGCCTTCTAATATTGCAGTTAATGAAAACATTTAATTTGTGATTTAGAAATGTTATAGGAAAATAATCATCTTAGAGTATGTATAAAGTTACTTAGTGAACTGAGATTTTTATATTTAGTGATAATAAGCACTACATGCTTTCTTCTTTTCAGCTGTGTTTTGCAAATGTCAGGTTAAACATTACTAATTAGGCCACCTTCTTTTTGAGTAATTTCATGGTAATATCAATACTGCTTTTATAGCAGTACAGGAATGGTTCATTCAGGCTTTTGTGCACCTGTTTATGTGCTAAGTGTTAGTGAAGTGCTGAGGTTATGCATATGAGTAAAATATAGCTCTTACCATCAGTGGCTTCATGGTCTTGTGGAAAACAAAGCTTTTGAGTATCTGTAGGTACAACAAGCCACAGAATACAGAGGAAGTACTGCCTGAATTGCTCAGGTAAAGACAACCAGTTGAATTGAGTATTAAAACATAAATTAGCTATTGATCCATGTCATTCATATATATATATATATATATATATATATATATATATATATATATATTTAACCACGTGTCAGTGATGAAAGTGGTTTTACCAAAGGCAAGCCATTAGCATTTTGGAGCCCTGAAAATTCCTTGAGAAAGTAGGTTAGGAGGATTGAGGTATTAAACATTTTTAAGATTCTAGGTCCTAATTAGTCATGGTCTTTCAGAGTTGCAAAGATTAAGATGAATTACTGCAGGGATTTGTCCATAAAACCTAAATTCGGATTATAGAATTATAGGACTGGTATAAACTTCTGAGGCTCTTTCACCATGTCTCTCTAATTTGCAGAAGAATCCTCCCCACCTTTGAGTTCATATCTAAATCAAAAGAGTTGTCAGCATTCATGCTCTTAGACAGAGAAGGGGCTTGCAACATGTAGTAGGGCAAATGGGAGGGTTTGTGTTTGCAATGGTTAACAGTTGTGATTTGTTATTACCCAGTGTTGTTAATCTTCATAGTGGACATTGACCCTCAGCTAGACTACTTTTAATGAAAAGAAACTCATCACCTTATGATAAAGTCTAAAGGACAGTTCTGGTTATTACGAAGTTATTTTTTTATAATCACCTGAAATCATAGTTCTTGTAACTTTGTCTTAGTAGTTTTAATTCTGCCCTCTAGAACAAGATATTAATACTTTTACTCCCTCTATGACACCCCTAAATAGCATGTGAGCTTCATGAAAGGAAAGTCCTACTTATAAATGAAGATACATTTTTCAGTGAAACAACCAGATTACTTTTATATAACAATCACATGCTGAGTAAGGATATTTCTGTGAACAATGGACCCATACTTTGAGGGTAGTCCCGTAAGATTATAATGTATGTTTACTGTACCTTTTCTGTATATTTTTCTGTACCTTTATTGTGTACCTTAGGTATACAAATAGTTTGGTGTTACAATTGCTACAGTGTTCGGTACAGTAACATGCTGTACAAGTTTTTAGCCTTGGAGCAACAGGCTAGGTGCGTACCCCCTATACCATCTAGGTTTCTGTAAGTATGGTATTTTTGCACAAAGAAATCACTTAATAACACATACCTTAGAATGTATCCCTGTCATTAAGCAACAGGTGACTTTGTGTGTGTTTGTGTGTGTACACACAAAATTAGTTTTTTTTGGGAGAGTACAAGTAACAAGAGATTCCATTTTCTTCCTATAATGAGAATATTTTTGGTAAAGATACTTGTAGTATAGGAATGAGAAAATGAGATTTTATTTTTTATTTTTTTGAGACAGAGAATCTTTATTGCCCAGGCTGGAGTGCAATGGTGTGATCTTGGCTCACTGCAACCTCTGCCTCCTGGGTTCAAGCTATTATCTTGCCTCAGTCTCCCTAGTAGCTGGGATTACAGGTGTGTGCTACCAAGCCTGGCTAATTTTTTTATTTTTAGTAGAGATGGGGTTTTGTCATGTTGGCCAGGCTGGTCTCAAACTGCTGACCTCAGGTGATCCACCTGCCTCGGCCTCCCAAAGTGCTGGGATTACAGGAATGAGCCAAAAATGATAATTTTTGATCCACAGTCATTGATACCTGAGAAAAGCATAACAGCAAGGTACCAGGAAAAGCAGAAAACTCAGTAGAACCAGGTTTCTTGGAACTGGAACACAATTTAAAATTTTAAAGCCCTAGAGATTCCTCAGAAAGTTCATGGGTCTTTGTAATTAGCCATATATTAACACTAGACCAGTAGCTGTACCCACAGTTAAAAATAGATTTTATATTGTGATCTAGCATACTTGTACTGTACAAAAAAGCAAAAGTAAGAGTTTCATGAAACAGTTTTACATGTATGATGTTTTCTGCTATTTTGTCTTACACTTGCTCCCTCCCTCCTTTGCTGTTTCTCATAATCTGCCTTTGTTTTTTGTCTGCATGATTTATAATTTTAAAGGATTTTTTATGTTTGTTTTCTCCATTTCTCTTACCACTTAACAGTTTTCTAATACTCTGTTGTTCTTTATATATTTTTTCCCTACTTCATATTTGTTATCTTATAACTTTGTCTTATATGTGGCTTATCATGGCCTGACTTCTCACGAAAACCTTTTAGCTTCCACTGGTGACTGCCCACTTTCTTCGATATTTGTTGATTGAAAGAGATTCTGAGCACTATAAGCACAGCGCAAGTTCTGATCTTGAAATGGATTGAATTTTTTTTGGGTCAGATGCCCATTCCTGTTCCAAATGGAGCCCTAATTAGGGAGTAGAGATGGAGGATAGTGGCCTGTGTACCTGTGTGTGTGTGTGTGTGTGTGTGTGTGTGTGTGTGTGTGTGTATGTAGAGGGGAGAAAGAGACCATTAACATATGAGTGTGTTGGGGCTGCTGAGTTGGTTTTGTGTGTGTGTGTGTGTGTATGTGTGTGCGCGTGCACGCAGAGGTGAGAGAGATGATTAATATATGAGTGTGTTGGGGCTGCTGAGTTGGTTTTGTGTGTGTGTGTGTGTACAGAGGGGAGAAAGAGATGATTAACATAGTGTGTTGGGGCTGCTGAGTTTTGTGTGTGTGTGTGTGTGTGTGTGTGTGTGTGTGTTTAGAGAGGGGAGAGAGACCATTAATTTATGTGTGTTGGGGCTGCTGAATTGGTTTTGTGTGTGTGTGTGTGTGTGTGTGTGTGTGTGCACGCACAGAGGGCAGAAAGAGGTGATTAACATGAGTGTGTTGGGGCTGCTGAGTTGTGTGTGTGTCTGTGTGTGTGTGTGTGTGTGTAGAGAGGAGAGAGAGACCATTAATTTATGAGTGTGTTGGGGCTGCTGCGTTCGTTTTGTTTACAAATGGCCTTGAGTGTATTTCATCTCTGCAGTGCATGGTCCCTGCACTCAAGCTACACAATCTGATCAGTGAAATATTATTAATACACTAGAAAAATATACAGTAATTACACAATGACTGACACAATTTTGTAGGGGGTTCATTTGTGAATGGGCAATAATGAAAAAAGAAAAGTTTTTCTTTGTTTTAGTCTGACCCTTTCAACAGTCTCTATTCATAATGTGAGGAAATTGCTACAAAAATTGAAATATTGTAGATACTGTTCATTTGCATATGGAAATACTTGTATGATGTGTGTTGTTCTTTCATAGGACAACCTCTACCCCTCCTCTCTCCACGCACATATACACAAGCTACAAGTAGCCTTGCTTTTGCTATGGGAGTTGCTGGCTTTTTTAGTGGGAGTCAAGACTGTCTTGGTAAAGTCTTAAAGAATGGAAGAGAGGGCCGGGCGCGGTGGCTCAAGCCTGTAATCCCAGCACTTTGGGAGGCCGAGGCGGGTGGATCACAAGGTCGAGAGATCGAGACCATCCTGGTCAACATGGTGAAACCCCGTCTCTACTAAAAATACAAAAAATTAGCTGGGCATGGTGGCGTGTGCCTGTAATCCCAGCTACTCAGGAGGCTGAGGCAGGAGAATTGCTTGAACCCAGGAGGCGGAGGTTGCAGTGAGCCGAGATGGCGCCATTGCACTCCAGCCTGGGTAACAAGAGCGAAACTCAGTCTCCAAAAAAAAAAAAAAAAAAAAAAGAATGGAAGAGAAGAGGAGGAAGGAGAGAAGGGAAGAAAGAGGGAGTAGGTGTAACAGTAGAGGGAGAGAGTTAATAAATTTTGGTGTTGCTTACAAACCAGAATTAGTCTCCTGATACTAACGTACGATTGTAAGAAAATATACAAATATCTGACATATAGAAAATAGTGTTAATTTTAAAGGTATTAATTGCTATAAAGTAAATTAATATTTTAAGAATTTATTAAAAATTAGAACATTAGAAGAAAAATATTAACTTTCCCTGCTGTGATTCGTATTAGGTCATTTTAACTGTCTTTAGCTAGTTCATTGTTTTAATAGAAACTATATACATCCTTACGTGTATATGAGATTTGGACAGCTGGCATCAAGATCAAGTTAAATATAACTTTGTAACAATATTATGTTTTTGTGATTCACCATGTAAGTGTATGCCACCTTTTATCCAAGGGTACATATCTTTAAATAGAAACTGTGCTTGAAGGAAGCTGTAGAAGAATTTAATATTTAAAGAAATGCTTTTGTAGGATGAAAAGAATTTACAATGAATATAAAGCTTTTGCTTGAATGTAAATCCAAATGTTAATAAATTGGATTGCTTAAAGTAGGTATAATTTAAAGTGGTGATTTTCTCGATGTGTCTTTTATCAGTAAATACTGTTTGAATTTTTATAGGAATCCATGGGAAAGAGCTACGATGGGAGAGCTTATGTTATCACTGGCATGTGGAACCCCAATGCACCAATATTTCTGGCACTTAATGAGGAAACCCCAAAAGGTGACTTTTCTTAAAAGTTCCCTTATTATTTGCTTTACATTTTATATTATGAACAATGTTGTTTTGACATTTTTTTTTTTAATTTGGAACTCATTTAAAGTGGACATATTCTTTTTATTGAGAGTTTGAGATTCATTTTTATACTTTATGCTTCTGTGGGGGAAATCACATTTAAAAAAATCCTCCCCAAAGATATATGAATTTTGCTATTGTTATTATTATTTTAAGAGACAGGGTCTCACTCTGTTGCTTAGGGTAGAGTACAGGCTCCCTATATACTATCTAGCTTACTGTAACCTCAAACTCTTGGGCTCAAGCAGTCCTCCCACCTCAGCCTCCTGAGTAGCTGTTAAATAGAACTTCAGGTGTGTGCCACCATGCATAGCTAATTTTTAAATTTTATTTTTGTAGCAATGGGTCATGCCTTGTTTCCCAGGCTAGTCTTGAACCTTTGGCCTCAACTGATCTTGCCTGCCAAGGCACTGGGATTACAGATGTGAGCCACTGCACTTGGCCTGAATTAATTTTATTAGATTATAGAGAAAGCATTTGGGCTTTGTTTTTCATAAACCAGTATAGAATTGTTTCATTTGGCGAGAGTAGTGATAGAGAAATATTAAAGAAAATGATGAAAAGGAAATATTTTGGAATTTTGAATATTTTAAAATTATTATTTTAACTATTTTTGTATTATAGTTTACTTAATAATTTTTCATTTATCAATTATTGGCTCCAGTCTTTTGGCCTTTGGGATGCTAGTAATATACAGTAAAGATTTCAATTGTAGCAAATAGTTTTTTCTTAGTTTTTTACTTTTTCATTTTATTTATCATATCTAATGTTGAACAGAATATAGGTTAGTTACATTTGTCATTTTTCCATTGTGTTTTCTTGTTCTTACTTTATCCAGATAGCTGTTAATTGCCTGTTTTTTTGCTCCTTCATCATCTACCATTAAACTACCCAATGAGTTATATTCCTATCCTAAATACTTTACCATCATTCAACCATTAATTTGTATTTAGAATATAATGGATCAGTTTGTTTTATCATTAATTTTATATTATTTAGTTTATACCCACAGTAGACTTTCGGTTAATGACAAGAAGCATTCATGAATACTGATAAGAAAATATAATATGTTAATAAAGAGCATTATAATGATAATTATTCTTTCATTTTCTGAAGAGAATATTCACCATTTATGTAAATCACATGCATTTGATCACTTATTAAGGTGTCTAAAAATGAGGGCTAAAAAGAAGAAAAGATTATATAAAATTTAACTTTTCATTTATTAACAGTAAATAATTTTTACACCCACAGTTTGTTATTTCTGGAGGCAGACATGCAAATACCTGTAACCTTCTTTCTTATACTTGTTCAGAAAGAAGCCACAAAAATGATAGAAATAAGCCAGTTGACAGTTTTGAAGAACAAAATACAAGAATTTTGCATATCGAATTATAAAAAGTTTTCATGTTTTTAATGTAACACCTAGTTTAATTTTATTTTGCAATAAAATATACATTTGGTCCACAAATAAAAGAAAATATACTATTATATAGTTTATTTTAATAAATATGGTTTATTAGTAATAAACTAAAATTTTAATAAATAAATTTAAAATAAATTTATAATTTATTACTAATAAACTAAGTAAAATTTTAATTTATTAGTTTATTACTAATAAACCATATTTATTAAACTATATAATAGTATATTATAATATTCGGATCCAAAGTATATGTTTTAAATTTAAAATTATTTCATATGCCACACAAAAATGTTACCCTGATCTTTAAAATTTCTAAATGATGTCCTTGAAATTACACATTATTCAGAGAATTTGGGCTCAAACAAAGTTTGATTTTAATGGAAGAAGTTGAGGCCCTGAGAGATGAAAAGTCTTGGATATTTCCACTGCACTAAGATTCAGCTGAATGTTACATTCTGTCTTGTGTTAATCTTACTTCTTTCTCTAAGGTTCTCCAGGTCAAGTACAATGTCTAACGAATTTTAGTTTTTCTTGAATTGGCAGATGTGTTTAGTAAGACTCTATTTAGTAAGAATGTGATAAAATTGTTACTAAATTTGATATTGATAGAGAAGTAGTTGATGAATCTAAATATTGTATAATATTAAAAAACGCTATGAGGGTTTCTTCTAATTATAGCCTTGGTTATTTGGATTTTCCTTTAACAGATAACTAAAATTTGTAGACAAATAGGTTTTAAAAATATTTATAAAAGAATGAGGAAATTACAAAATGGTATGAAATAACCAGGCAATTGGTTCAAAAACCTCAAGGAGGTCAAGTGCGGTGGCCACACTTATAACCCAGCACTTTGGGAGGCTGAGGTGGACGGGTCACCTGAGGTCAGGAGTTCAAGACCAGCCTCGACAACATGGTGAAACCCCGTCTCTAAAAATTAGCTGGGTGTGGTGGTGGGTGCCTATAATCCCAGTTCCTCTGGAGGCTGGGGCAGAAGAATTGTTTGAGCCCTGGAGGCATAAGTTGCAGTAAGCTGGGATTGCTCCATTGCACTCCAGCCTGGGCGACAGAGCAAGACTCCATCTCAAAACAAACAAAAACCAAAAAACAAAAACCTCAATGAATATCAAGCAGAGTAAATAAAATAAAATAAAATGAAATTCATGTTTCAACCCATCATAGTGAAACTGAAGAAACCTATAGACACTGGCCTAGAAGATTCTAGATTCTAATTAAAGGAAGGCTGTGGCCTAGTAAACATTTCAAATCATAACTAGAATATTGGCTGATAAAACATACTGTTGTCTAAAAGCACTCGTCAGGACTCAGATATATGTGTATATATACTCACACACATACATGAATATTTATATGTATATTCATATATATATGAAAACTACACAGGACTATTTCTTTGAAACTTTAATTTTTCCTAAGGGTAAATATGTATTATAACAATGAGGGTACTGAAAAATCTCTGGAGACTTTTCTTGAAGCATACAGCATGGAAGTATTTATATCAGTAACTTTTTTTGTTGTTATTTTTTTGAGACTGAGTCTGACTCTCGTTGCCCAGGCTGGAGTGCAGTGGTGCAGTCACGGCTCACTACACTGTCAACTTCCTGAGCTCAGGTGATTCTCCCACCTCAGCCTCCTAAGTAGCTGGGACTACAGGCATGCACCAATATGCCAAGCTAATTTTTTGTATTTTTAATAGAGTTGGGGTTTCGCCATGTTGCCCAGGCTGGTCTCTAACTCTTGGATTCAAGTAATCTGCCTGCTTTGGCCTCCCAAAGTTTTTTACAGTTGTGAGCCATCGTTCCCAGCTTTCAATCACATTTTATGTATACAAGTTTAACACAGAGAAGGCGAGTGTCTCTTTTGATAGTTCTTAGTTCTTCCCATGCAACTCATTAAACAAACCTGGTAATTTCTATTATCTTTTTTATAAGATGAAGTAACCGATCTCTGTGATTTTCTAGAGGTTCTTTGGGAAGTCAGATCGTTTTAGAGTAAAAGATATCCTTTACTGTTGTATTTTATTTATTTTTATATTAAAAATCTAATTTGGGGAATGGAAAAAGAAAAATTGTCAGGCAATTTATTAATGTACACTTAGGATCATTAGTTTCTAAGAAACATGCTTAGAATACTTGCATACTTATTTAATCATAATGTCAATAGAACATTTAAATATAAACATAGAAGTTACTATAATTGTAAAGAATGTTAATTCTTTCATAAGTGAGGAAACTTTGTTTAAAGTAATCAAGGCATAATAAAACTGGCATAAAATCCTGAAAATTTCTACTACAGATAAACGAGTATACATGACTGTGGCCGTGGATATGGTAGTTACAGAGGTGGTAGAGCCTGTTCGCTTTCTCCTGGAGACAGTAGTCCGTGTGTACCCTGCAAATGAGCGATTTTGGTATTTCAGCAGAAAGACTTTCACAGAGACTTTCTTCATGAGATTGAAACAGGTAGGACTTTTTTGTTCTCTTCATATGGTAACATACATTTTTCTTCCCACACCTGTTCCTTAATGCCAAGATAATTCCTGAAGTTGCAAAGCAATACAATTCCTCAAAGAAATCAAATGATATTTGAAGTCAACCAATAGAGTGTTTGAAAAATTCACATGTAGGTAATATAAGCTAAAAAAACCCCAGCTAGTTTAATAATTATATACTTTTCCCCTAGAAACCTGTAATGTCATAAACCTTCTTAACAGAAATATTGATTCTGCATATAAAATAATCTTTTGCCTTTTACATACAATTACTTAAAACCAAAAAGGCAATGCACAGAAATATCATAGGCTTATAAAATTTTAATGAAAAAGTTGCCAAGAAAGACCTAATTTCTATTGTTATTTCTGCCTGTAATATTTGACAGCTTTATATGAACATCTTGTTAGACTTAGTGAGGTTATAAAATTATTTTAATATTAAATGAACAAAGTTATGGTTTCTGTGATATCCTTAAATTAGCCAGTGTTAGTAAAGTATGTAATTTTTTGTATTATAGTGAAGGAAGCAGATAACAATGAAAAATAACTTGAATTCTAATAGTGTCAGTTTTTAAAAATCAGGATAAAAATGTTCTATTAGAATAATGAAAATCTTTTATATGCTGTTTTTGTTAGTACTTAAATTCTTCCAAGTTTTAAAATGCTTGCTGCTTCATATACGATAATATGGGAACTGCTGTGTGATAAAAGCAGGCATCAGCATAGGGAACAAATATAGAAGCCTCTTACTCATTTTTATATTAAAAAACTTGCCATGGCTCATTTTGTCTTCATATATTATATACTTGGAAATTATTGTGGTTTTAAAAAAATCTTTCATAAAATTATTATGGCTGTTATTTGACTCACCTTTTACTACTGTGTGAACTGCTTTTATAGCATATGCTAATGAAGGTTATATGAGCAATATTCAAACTACAGTTTCCTGAGCATCTTTCAATATTTTATTATGAGAGTTTTTCCCTCTCTTCCTTCCTCCCCACCCTTCTGTCCTTCCTTTTTAAAAAATAGCTTACTTGTTATGATTATCCAATAATTCTTCATTTTGACCCAAAGAATTATTCATAGTTGCATAATCATGAATAAAGGAGCTGTATAGAAAGTGAGTTGTCATTCTTCTAATGATGATAAATTATTATAACGTAAATTGTACCTGATAGAGATATGAGAAAAAGTTAGGTTTTTCCCAGTTCTAGTACTTTTATCTGTGTGTCTGTCTCTCTCTATATATGTCTATATCTATATTTATATCTATCTATCTATATATCATTAATTCCTAAGATCATTAGTTCGTTTGTATTTATAATTACTTGCAATAATTACAGGAATTTTAAGAATTACTTTAACTTCTCTCTCTCTCTCTCTCTCTATATATATATATATACATATATATATATATATATAAAATTAGTTCCTAAGATGATTAGTTCATTTATATATATATGAATATATATTAGTTCATTTACATATATTATTAGTTCATTAAATAAATATATGTGCATATATATGGAGAGAGAGAGAGAGAGAGAGAGAGAGAGAGAAAAGTTAAAGTAATTGTTAAAATTCATGCAAGTAATTATTGCAAGATCTGAGACTACAACTCCTTACCTTAATCCGGACTATGCTGCTGTAAGGCCAGACTAGCTTCTTTCTGCAGCTCCAAAGAGTGAGTTGGTTTGGGGTGGTTGATGGTAATCTAGAGATGTTGGTCTAGACTATAGAACGTTGGTATAAAGAAGGAATTAGGTGAGCACCTAATGCAATTCTAAGTTACCTTTGAAAATATGGGTCTAGGCCATTACTACTTTAAAGAAATAAAGAGAGAATGCATTTATTTCAGTTTTAAGTGATTTAGACACCTAGAACTTTTCTTTCATTCTGAGAGTATTGGACTTACTGAATGAAACCAGAACTTGCCCTGTACCCAAACAGGTTTAGATCAGACTCCTGGGGGCAGCACCAAAGTAGATGAGATGCCCTGTTCCCAAACTATTTTTTCTTGGCAGCTTTCTTCTCTCAAATATAGCAGGACTTTACTTGTGAGCATTGGGGGTATAGGAAGTTCTGTTTTGTTCCTGTTTAGTGTCCACTCAGGGCCAAATGGCATTTCATTTTCATTCATTTTCCAATTACTGGGAGCAAAAAGAGCACTTAACGAGAGGATGGAAACAAAAGCTGGGAAAGTAAACTGGAGAAAGTCGTTTGACCCGAGATCTAACAGGAATAGACATTAATTAGGTATAAGTGGGAAAAAGGCAAGTATAAATGCCTAGAGAACTAAAAAGACTGGGAAGCAAAATAATTGATGATGAGAGGAAACTAGGACCCTGATCATGTGAAACGTTGGACTTCACATTCAGAGTTCTTTTCTAAATCAACTTTATTGAGGTAGTTAGCATACAGTTAAATGCACCCATTTAATAGTACATTTTGATGAGTTTTGACAGGTTTATACACATGAATAATCACCATTTATTTGATGTATTGTTTTCCTAATTAGTTTAGTTGTCCATGTTTTCTTGTAGTTCACTGATTTTTAAGCGGATTATTCTAAATACATTGTTAGTTTCATATCTTCATTTGTTTTGGGTCAGTTATTATAGCTTTATTAGTTTCCATTAGTGGTGTCATGTTTCCCTGATGCTTTGTGATCTGCATAGCATTGTATTAGTGTCTGCACAATTTAGGAAGTGATCACCTCTTCCAGCCTTTACATGTTCATTTTGGCCAAGGAAGGACCTTTATTAGTCTGCTAAGCTGGGCTTCTGGATAGGCCAGCTGGTACCATATGCAGGCAAGTGAGGCTTGGGTCTCTGATCTGGTAGGGCTGCTGCCATTACTCTAAGGTTAGGTGGAACTCTATGGTTGGGCAGGCCCACTCACTGGTATCTGAGGTCAAGTAGGACTGTTGGCTGGGCTTTGTAATTGCCTCTGGTTAGGTGGGGCTACAGGTTGTGCCCCACAGTTGGGCAGGGTTGCTGGCTGGGCTTCACAGCTGGATGGTGTTACAGTCAGGTGGGGCTACTGGTTGGACTCCCTACTTGGTTGGGGCTGGAGGCTGTGCCTCACTATTTGATGTAGTTATTGGCTAGGCTCCCTGGTTGGGTGGGACTGCAGGTTATACTTAGGGCTGCTGGCTTGGTTCCCTGTCTGGGCATGGTTGCCCGCTGTGCTCTGCAGCTGAACTGGATAGCTGACTGGGAAACCCAGCCACACAGTACTTCTAACTATACTCCCTGGCCAGACTGGGTGCCAGGATTGCTCTGCAGGTGGGAGGAGCTGCTGCCTGGACTCCTTGTCAGGTGAAGCTGTCAGCAGGATGTGGTACCATTGCCAAGATACATGTACTTGTTGCATGTGTCTTGTCCTGACAATTTCTCAGTATTCTATAGGAGAAGAAACAGAATTTGGCCTTTTGGGAAGCATCCTGGAATATTGGGGAAGCTAGATGTTCACCTTATGCTATTTTTTGTCTGCTGGCAAAACCATAGACTCAGCACATCTCTCTTGGCATGAGACTGTGCTGGCCTGGGGTATTGGCAACATGATCACATTGAAATTGTTCCACTTGTACTTCCAATACAACTCTTCTTAAGTTTTGTGCTTCTGGAATTGTTGCAAAGATGTTCTTATATGTGGATAGTTGCTAGTTGGTATTTCTGTGATGGGTACTAGAGCTTGGGACCTCCTATTCTGCCATTTTGCTGATGTGATTCCCAAGAACACACATGTTTTTGATATTACTATAAGTTGCATTCTTCAAATTTTAATTTTTATTTTTAGAATATATAAAGACTATTGATTTTTGTATATTAGCCATATTTCCTGCAACCTTGCTAAAATTAACTTGTTTTTGAAGTTTTTCTAGATTTTTTTTTTGGAGACAAGGTATTAGTCTGTTGCCCAGGGTAGAGTACAGTGTCATACACATAGCTCACTACAGCCTTGACCTGTTGGGCTCAAGCAGTCCTTCCACTTCAACCTCCCAAGTAGCTGGGACTACAGGCATATGCCACCACACCTGGCTAAGTTTTAATTTTTTTGTAGAGATGAGGTCTTGCTGTGTTACCCAGGCTGGTCTTAAACTCCTGGATTCAAGCAAGCTTCCCACTGCAGCCTTTTAAAGTGCTGGAATTATAGGCATACGACACTGTACCCAGCTCTTTTCTAGATTCTTAATGCTTTCTCTATATATGATCATGTTGTTTGTCAGTAAAAGTAGTTTCCAATCTGAATGCCTATACATTCTTTTTCTTGTGCTTTGTTTTTTCCCCCCTGTGAACTGTGTTGGAACTTTATCAAATGTTTTTCTGCATCTATTGGGTTTTTTCCCCATTTTTTTCTTATCCATATATTGAAATACATTTTTAAAAAAATATTAAGCCAACCTTGTATTCCTTAGGATAAGTCTCCTTTGGTCATGATGATTTTCTTTTTATGTATCACTCTATATTTATATATTTTTAAAAATAATTTTTATGTCTATTTATCAGACATACTCATTTATAGTTTTCTTACAATGTCTTTGTTGAATTTTAATATTCATCTTGTCTTGTGTCCCCAAAAAAATGAGTTGGAAATTGTTTTTTTCTATATTTGCTGGGAGAATTTTTATAAGATTTGTATTATTTCTTCCTTAGTTGTTGAATAGAGTTCACCAATGAAACCATCTGGTCCTGTAGTTTACTTTGTGGGAAGCTTTTTAAATTATGAATATGCTTTCTTTAATAGATAGTGGATTTATTCCATTTATTTATTTATTTATTTATTTGAGACGGAGTCTTGTTCTGTTGCCCAGGCTGGAATGCAGTGGCATGATCTTGGCTCACTGCAACCTCCGCCTCCCAGGTTCAAGTGATTCTTCTGCCTTATCCTCCTGAGTAGGTGGGACTACAGGCATGGCCAACATGCCAGGATAATTTTTGTACTTTTAGGAGAGGTGGGGTTTCA